ATAATTAAGTAAAGGCTGTTCTTCCCGCTTTATGGGGAACACTACTCTATTAGAGGTTATTTTTCCGAAGAATTGGATTCTTTCCTTGTAGTCCAAACTATTTTAATTTCTATTTAAAACTACTGCCGAGTCTATTTAATGAAAAATTTCGTAAAAGAGAAAGTACCATCCGTCAATAATTACCGCCGCCTAAACTCGGAGTAACGTACTAACATGTCCAATCAAACTATAGCCCCAGTTAGAATATGGCTACCGATCAAGTCGAGGTCCGGCCCTCTCGGGCACCCACGAATAGACAGGTATTGAGTGACAGCCTAAGCCGAGGTCCCTTCTCGTTCGAGGTCCCCACTCCATGGAGCGTCCGCCAAAGCACATAGGCATAGTATATACCTATAGTATAAAGTATTAATAATATTTTTACAAAAGAAAAGTAAGTTTATGTATATTTATCAGTTACCTAGTAGAAATAGTACAACCTTTGCTTAATTTTGGACAAATAATATTATTTAGAAATATGTCTGAATGTAATATGAAAAAAAAAATATCAACAATACGACTATTTTTTAGTTTTTGTTAATGCTATTTGTTCGCGACTACCTATTCTTGGAATTCTATTTTTTTACTATAGAAAAATCAACACAGCAGCTCAAGCTGTGGCAGGCATGGACCACGGACCAAGAACCTCACAGAAAGCCGGTTTAAACTTTTTTATGTGAGCGGATAGGCCCCAAGAGCGGCGCCTGAGATGGTATGTCCATGTCGCACGCTGGTCGGAAAAATATGTCGGAGGGATATGCCTTGATATGCCTGTCCCTTTAGCTAGACCTCCTGGCCGCCCAAGGAAGCGATGGCTGGACCTTGTGAACCAGGACATGAGAGCCAATGGACTGACCCATGAGGATGTTGAAGATCGGGCAAAGTGGAGCAGTTTAAGTAGGAAAGCAGACCCTGGCAATAGCTGGGATAAATGCTAGGTAGAAGAAGAAGGTGGTAAACGAGCTGGCAGTTCACTTTGGAACTTTTACGTTTTATTTGGTAAGTACCAATATAAACCAATTCAAAATGTGACAATGCATCTGTCAACGTGACAGGTGATGCTGATGTCCATAAGCATTGATAATAATTTACCTTGACCTCAGTATGCGATGATAGTTAAATCAAACATTATCGAAACTAATGCAGTTGACTACGCGACTTATATATATAATAGGTACTATAAAGTGATTGTATTAATAATATTATTGATAATGTTTAATCATAATAAAAGTTATTCAAGAATTTAAAACAATACCTAAAAAACCACTAACCCAAAGATTTAGCACATAAAGTGTTGTATACTTCTACTAAACAAGTATAGTTATAGTTCTATGTTGAACTATATAATTGGAATAATAAGTAATAAACATTATTTAAAATTAATTTAAAAAATATATTTATTAAATATATAAAGTGAACCAATCAATATTATTTCAATGAGAAACAATACCATTATATATGTGATACATAATTATATTTTATGAGAAAAGTTTTCAACTGGGTAGGCGATTCCGTGAATACCGCGTCCTCTGGACGTGGCTTGCAAATGCGTTTACAACCTTTAAAAAAGTGGGCTCCGGTCACTTCACGTCGTTCTTCTACGAGGTCTTGGTACTTCGACGAGCCTGCCCATTCGTGCAACAGCAGAAACAGTTGCGTGGCTCTACGACAATTACTGTTGCGTGGTCCTCACAGTAAGTGTTCGTGTATTACTGCAATTTTATCTCATAAATAAATCGGAGTCAAAATAGGGCACAAAAATTAAAACTATAGAAACACAAAAAGTGCAAAAAATTGTTAAGATCGGATCAAGTCAAATTTTGACCGATTTTCTTAGCGGAGAGCGTGCGGGAATTTCAGAACGGCATTCTTACAGTCAGTACATCTATAAGTACGGAGGTAGAGCGTGGCTCTATTACTGCTGTATTAATACACAATATGAATGTACCATACTAAGGTGATATGTAAGTAAGGTCTGTGAAATAAAAACAATAACATGTAAAGGCTAAGATAAAAATTAAATATAATGGTGAGAATTGGGATTTGATAAATATTAATACTGAGTTTTTTCGTGGTACCTTCTGTACGATTGAGATCGAAGTAAACGTGGACTCGGAACCGATATGTCTTATTGTTAGACATATCATTGAAGTGCCGGTGGTGGTTGCAAGCGTCTTAGAGTTTCACTATGATACGTACCACCATTCGGCTTAAAGTATTAGCCTAGAAATATCACACCGCTGGGCAAAGGCCTCTTCTGTACAGAGGGTATTAGGGCATAGTCCACCACGCGGCCCCCCCTGCGGATTGGCGGACTTCACATATTTTCGAAATATTTTTTATTATTTCGAAATTATACAGGTTTCCTCACTATGTTTTCCTTCACCGCAGAGTACGTGATAATTTAGCACTTGAAATTAATAATTTCATTGGTGCCGACACCGGGGATTGAACTCAGGTTGCTCGAGTAGGTTGAATTAAAGGCGAGCGCCCGGACACTGAGCTATCACAGCTCGCCATTCGGCTTAGAGAGAGAATTTAGGAACCAAAGTTGATTGGATTCATATTGGTGTAGTGTGATGATGCACCATCTATGGGATAGTCACATTGGTGCTTGATAATATAGCAGCAATGCGATTGTGGCGATTACATGGGCGATCTGCACCTTATAAAAGTGCATCGTATGGTTCTGGTAGACAGAAGTTCGAGATGTCATGATGATATGCTGTAGATGCAAGGAGGCATTGTGCTGGCGTGACCGGCGATAGTCGTATTGATGTTGCGTTTAACGGCATTCCGTCTTACGGCGGTGATTTTGGAAAATAAGTCTATTCATAATGTGGGTTGCGTGTCGGTTTGACTCACATCTCAGCAGATTCGTCCATGCCGGGTTCCTTTATGACGGGACTGCGGATTGTTTGACCCCCATATATTTTATTTAACAACATAAATGAATCTCTTGGTAAATTTCCCACCGTTTAAATATATGAAGGTAACTTGCTGGTGGTGAAACAAACTGGATCGAAATACATTATACTCAACGTCAGTTACACTGATCCTATCAGATGGCCAATTGTAAATCTTCCTGATGGCTTATTATTATTATAACAGATATGGCTAAATCTGCTTATTGCAATGTTTGGAGGAGCATATACGTTTTTGGCTGCGACCGAAAGCCACTCAACGTGGGAAACATACACTTGGGGTGAGCAATAAACTTGCAACGCGCTTTGTGGCGGTGGTGCCGTGCAAATTGTTGGAAAAATTGCGAAACGAACACTAACATTACGTCTGCAGCCGCGGCGGTCAGACAAAGTGCTATGGAGGGCTTATTTATGGGTGTGCCCAAATATATTAGACGTGAGCCAAAACCGTATGAGGTACATTGACTGAAGAAGTTTTTGTGTAGTTGGGATTTTTATTTATTTTTTTGGAGTGATAGCTCATTGTCCGGTGCTGGCACTAATGAAATTACTAATTTTAAAGCACTTAAAATTAACAATTTCAACAATATATAAGCCAGTAGGCTTATAACGTACTCCGCAGTGAAGAAAAACGTCGTGAGGAAACCTTACAAAATATATTTCGAAGATTTGTGAAGTCCGCCAATCCGCAGTGTGGCCGCCTGGTGAACTATGCCCTGATACCCTCTGTATAGAGGAGGCCTTTGCCCAGCAGTGGGACATGTGTAGGCTGTTACTTTACTTTTTTGGATTTGCTGGATTCGAAGTTTATGCTTCGAATAAACCGATTTATGCTCGACCGAAGACCAAATCGTGGGCGTGCACCGCACACGGCCTTGGTGAGTTGCTTAATCAAGCCGTGTCCTTCCACACATTTTTAGAAAGGTATGGGGAAGCGAATATATTGTATCGGGTATTTTATAAATAAGTAAATTTTATAAATTAATACTCTGAGCCCTTCTCAAGTAAGTTGGGTTTAGCTATTAAGAAACCGATCAACCTCTATCTACAGCTTACACTGTCCCTGGTGAATATTTTTCCATCCGAGAAATACCTAAAAGATTCTGGTTATTAAAAAAATGCTACATAAAAATGTAACATACATACCACATAACATGACAACCAGTGCCACATTTCCCAAGTGATCGATGATAAGATAACAGGTCACTTAAATGATATCCAAGTTGACCTTTTAAAGGCTGTAAGATGTTAAACTTGTTTTCTTTAACTTAAAATAATATCTGTACCGTACCGGTGTTTCAGTGTTTTGGATGAGACGACAGGACAAGCAAAGCTTTTTGCATTTATGGAGTTCACGAGCATGCGTGTAATTAATAGAATGATTGAACTAACAAAGCGAACTTTCGAAGCGAAGTACGCGACTTTAGATTCCATGTTAGTTCCTCTCGTGTATATTCGTTGTGGACTTATCGTTGTCTTATTTTCATTGTAATACTAATTTGACTAGATCACGTTTGTGCACTTTTATCATGTACTTTAAATACCGGCCATAATTAATGTAAAGAAAATTTCACTCTTAATGATTAGTAATTTTGTTAGGAACAATATTTCTTGTTAACGCTAACTAACGCTTACGTTCTTCTTACATAAATGAGAACAAGAGTTACTTAATAATTATTGCTATCATCGATAACTTATTTAATTTTCAAAATTCTACGTTTATTTAAATCGATTCTCGCTTTCTATTTGTGCTTAAAGTTTGCCTGATACATCAATGAAATGTATAGTTTTAATGTTAGCTATGGAGTCAATATGCGCGAAAAGCTCTTAATGTACATCGTTATCATAACATAAAGGTAATATATAACATTCAGAGCTAATTTGGCTTTTTTGCCCAAGAGTGTTTCCGAACTTAAAAACAATAACATTTCGCTCTCGTTTGTTTGCTTTTCGCGCACGCGTTGATGTCTTTTTATTGCGAATTTGGTTCGCGACCGCGGCGTGCGCGCTCTGCTAGCATAGCTTTGGCGGGGTACTCACGGCTGATGCCGGCTGCGGGGTCCAGTGCAGCAGGAGGATGGCGGGCACGAGGCGGACGAGGTAGAGCGCTTTGGGGCGCGCACGCGCCGGGCCCGACATGGCTGCGCCGCACTACTGGTGGCGGCGCTCGGAGCCGGCCGCGACGCCCGCCTCTCCGCCGCCCTGCGCCGCGCGGGGCGGGGGCGCGCTGGCCGCCGCCCGAGCGCTCCTCTCTCCTTAGTATCCCGGCACGAACGGCGCGCGCGCACGGGACACAGGCGCAGCGCGCTCCGTGCCATGGCGCTCCACGTACTATGGTAATTTCACGACTTGCAATATTTCTAAGTTCTCCTCGCCTCCACTCCTATAAAACTCCCCGGCGGAGTTTGAACAGTTAAATTGAATCCCCAACGAACTTTTCATGTCCGTTGCAATTATTGTAAAATGTTTATGTACATATATATTTATTTTATTTTTTCACCAGTAATTTTTTATAATTTTATGACACTGAAAGTTCAAAATTGTAGTTCTTTAACCTTACTCTATTCCATGATTCTATCAGGTTTGTGGCTGTTTTGGCGCCTTTGAGGGGAGTTGTGACGGTGAGTGACAATTTTTCTTCTTTACATTATCTCAAACATATACCACACCAGGTTAAAGAAAATAGAATATTAAATAAGACCTCGGCAATATTGGGGAATGCCGAGGCGCTCACAGGCGCGCGTCCCGACTTGCCAGTCCGCTTGTTTTCTTTCTTTTGCGATTTCTCCAAAAACGCGAACTTAATCATACCTTTGTCGCAAGTAAATTAACGATGATAACAATTGTTCTTTTTTTTCTTTATTATAGTTTTGTGTTGAGAAATTACCGTTTTACTTAAAGTAATATAATATACTACTCCCTTTTATTCTCTTCTGAAACTGATGAATGGTTTCTTATAAACAACGCAATATTGCGGGACACCGACAAATTTTTATCATCGGATGTAATACGTCGGCGTTGCGCAAACGAAGAGTCCCGATTTAAATTATTTTCCACCCGATAATGTTTTTTAATAAATTATAAAAATATTTATTTGTATACAAAAATTGATCACAAATGTGTTTTAGATTAAATAAACAGTAAAGATGTCACTTATTTTACAACTTTAACACTATTTAATATTAATTATAACTTTGTCAGTATCGAAAAAAAAATAGAAATAGAATATAACTTATAACGAAAAATATTACAGTACAAATATTAGTACATTTTAATAGATTTAATGGTATATTTTTATTACAAATACTAAAATTTTATTTTTGCTATTTAGATGTTATTATCGGCGATAATATCATGAAGCTTTTAAGAATATGTATTTTCTACGTGAGGACTTTCGGATTTTTATAAATTTTTAATGTTATTTGAAATAATAGTTAAATTGAAATAAAAATAATTTTTTTTAGCTTTCTCTCACGTAGAAAAATGCCTGTCTGTCTGTCATCTATTGTTCTACTAATTGAGCTACTAACACTTTATTAACTTTGGTAAAAACGTTCAGCTGAAGTCGGGTAGACGTCACGAAAAATAATTAAAATCTTGATAACTTTTAAATTAGTAAAGTAACAACCTATACATGTCCCACTGCTGGGCAAAGGCCTCCTCTATACAGAGGGTATTAGAGCCTAGTCCACCACGCGACACCATTGCGGATTGGCGGACTTCACATATCTTTGAAATATATATTTTTTTCGTTATTATTTCGAAAATATGCAGGGCTCCTCAAGATGGCTCCGCAAGATTCACCGAGGAGCACGTGATAAGTCAGCATTTAAAGTTAAAAACTTCATTGGTGCCGGCACCGGGGATCGAACTCAGGTTGCTCGAGTATATTGAATTAAAGGCGAACGCCCGGACACTGAACTATCACGGCTCTTTTGAATTAGTAATAAAAATTATAGCGATTTAAAATAAATGAGATAATGATTTAAAAACTTAAGATTAATATTTACAATTCATTATATTTTGTTGCGTTGAAAGCTGCCAGTTTTTGTAAATTCAGCAACAAAAATGATTATGTTGTTCTTCATCTTTTTTTATCTATATGTGAACATGTAATTTATTACTGGCAACATGAACATGTGAATTTAGTACTGGCAACTACTAAATGAACTATATCATTACTAGAGAAAAAGAAAGAGACACGTAACTAACACTTTATTCATATAATATAATTGTTTTCCTTCAAATATAAACTGCAGTAAATGTGAATTTTTTGTAGATAAATTCTCACTAATTTTGCCATCTTGACCTGGGATGTCACTAGAATATCGAGAGTACAGTGAGTGAGATTATCCCGATCCCGGGCTGTAACTGGTCTGAGGAGTTGGGATAGGGATATGTTGACAAGAAATTGAAATCGACGAGAAGGTTCGACAAGTAGTCGCATCTAAAACCTCTAAAATTATCAGGGTTTCTCTTCTATATTATACATGAATTATACGTATAAACTTTCCTCTTGAATCACTCTATCTATTAAAGAAAACCGCATCAAAATCCGTTGGGTTGTTTTAAAGATCTAAGCATATATTGGGACAGACAAACAGCGGGACGACTTTGTTTTATAGATTTTCACTGTCTTGCTACCACTCATAGGGAGTGTAGCTCATGAGTTAAGCAATGAAAGTTATGCAATTAATTAAGTTATACCTTTGTCGAACCCAAACCCACACGACTGTCGTTCTGGGAGTCGGCAGAGTGACGATTAGAGAGAATGTAGATAAATTGTCAAACATTTTCGGCACTTGAATATATAATAATAAATAAATATATAATGAAAAAGTAATATATAACACTGTTTATAGTAAGGTTCCTTGAATAAATGAGTTACAATACGTCTTAGTGTCTAATGTTTAAATACTTGAATAACACTTAAACCAATACGAATGTATGAATATAAAATTAATCTTTTCAAAATTTGTTAGGCAACATAGCCTATTAAGTAACTAGTGTACGTTACAAACAAAAAATGTTGTATCAAATAATGGATAAAATGCGACGACAGCGCAATATTGCGTATCAGATTATCAAGTCGTAATACTGTTTTAAATACGTGTAAATGTTTATGCCGTTATTGTAATTTACTACAGTACGTAATTTGTAAGAACCGATGTATAAAAAAAGTTTGTGTGTACGTTATACACACGTTAGAAGTTAGACTTCTAGATAAAAATCTTTTCAAAAATTTTTTCTTTTGCCTTATTCAGCGTTTGTAGAAAAAACGACATTAACAATAAGCAAAAGATATTTAATACATTGGAAGTTGTATTATAACGCATTATCTAGTTAAATTAAGTATATTTACATATCACGAGATAAATATCGTGAATACAGTTGTCAGTTCACACGCAAACATACGTAGATGTCTAGGTAACTTCAAGGTTTTTCGTGACGGTGCGCGCGCGCATCGTAAAAATTTACTCTAACATTAATTCCTAACGCGCCAAAAGAAGTATACCTTCAAAATATTCAACTTATCCTTTACATATATATGACACAATTCAAATTTAATTAAATGTATTTCTTTTTAAGGGTCGCCAGTTCGTATCTAACTGAACTAAACGCACACTGAGACGTCTCTTAGAGCTATTTTATAAATTTAGTTTGTTTTTCAAATAGAGACGTATTAATAAATCTTTGAATCTGAATCATTGGCAAATCGGGCAAATGCCAACAGACGACCGTATCCAAAATTATGTTTATTCATATTGGAGCACAATGTCCTGTCAGTTGTAAGTAAGGCTGACTGCTAAATAAGCTCAACAAAAACCACGAATTAACCACGAAGATAAAGTTAGCATTATACATATGTATGCCTAATCCTTTGACACCCTCTACAACCTAAAACTTTTGAAGGACTTCAACATATGATGTGACATAAATATTTCAGTATAATGTCCGTGAGTGCTTGTAAGGCAATTTGTTTCATTTAATAATTTACACTTGTTTAATCATTTTTTTATAATCTAATTGGAAATAATTTACAAAAACATTACGATGATAATATGGTTAAATTTAGAACATATTTGTCTTGTTTCTGCGCGTTCTAAAGAAAAACAAAGGGGGCAACTAAAACATGACCTGGCCTTTTTACTAAACCTAGATTCACTTTAATGCTGCTTTACCCTGCGCCCTTTCGTCGAAGGGGCGCAGGTTGAAGTAATCCTTATAACTCACATCATTGTAAGAGTTATATTAAACAAAAAAATTTTGCAATCCGATCGGTTTTTGTTGAGATTTTTCGTCTTCCTAAGGTGCTATAGTTCGTGTAGAGAAAAGTAGTTAAAATGCTTATATTAAATATATAAAAAAATCAGAATCCATCTATGTATCATATTTGCCCGAATGAAGTCATTCCACTGAATATCGTCAATAGTCAGATGTACTTCTTAGATTTTATGGACAGAAATTTATAACGTGGATTTATTTACTCAGAAAATGAGATATTTCTTTGCTTTATTCACAGCAAGAGGATGGTTGGATGGACGGAAATGATATAAATGCAAGCAGATGGCCACCACCTGATTGGTATGGAAATAGGAATGTACCACCATCTCCCTCTCCAACTAGATATGGTTTATCTGGTCGGCCAGACTTGCCACCGGCCCGTCCACCACCTAGCTCTGGTCTTAACTTCGCCGTATACGATCCTGTAACCCGACAGCGGACAGCTGCTGTGGATCGTAATTGTACTGCAACTGGCTGTTGCGTTCCAAAGTGCTTTGCTGAAAAAGGTTCTAGGGTAAGTGATTCTACATTCTCTCAAATTAAGAGGATAACCTTTGACTACAACTCTTTGTCAGTGTTAAAGGCTATCTTGTTTACTTAATGATGTTTATATTTTTTTCGAGTAATCAACTCGATAGCCTATTTTATTCACGACATTATTATACAGGGATTCCCAGGTGTGCCTGAGTCCACCAGGATCAAGAGGTCTTCCTGGTCATGAAGGTGCAGAAGGCCCTCAAGGACCAAAGGGACAAAAGGGGCAGTTGGGTCCACAAGGTCCTCGCGGACCAAAAGGTGACAGAGGGAAACCTGGTGCTCAAGGCTTTATTGGCTTAACCGGACCGCCTGGACCACAAGGTGAACCAGGTATTCCAGGTATACCCGGGAGAGATGGATGCAATGGGACAGACGTAAGAATTTAGTTTCACTTATTTATAGTGATACCAAATGTGTTTTTTATAAAAGACATGCATTTTCTAAAATTTAGGGTGAACCAGGAGAAATGGGACCTAAAGGTTCACAAGGTCCTCGAGGTATCCCTGGACCGAAAGGCGATAAAGGTGACAAAGGAGAAGCAGCCCATATGGGCCGATACCCTAAAGGACAAAAAGGGGAGCCTGGTGCCGACGGTATGCAAGGAAGTCAAGGACCCGTCGGACCGCCGGGACCTTCTGGCTTACAGGGACCAAAAGGAAATACAGGGCCTATAGTAAATATTTTTTCGATAAGTAATAATATGGTTGTTTTTATTTCTTTTTATTGAACAATTGTATTTAAATTTCATTTTTCTAGGGCCCGCAAGGATTCAAAGGTGACAAGGGTTCTAAGGGTTCAAAAGGTCAAGCAATTCAAGGCGACAAGGGTGATAGAGGTGACAGGGGCGACAAAGGACCTGGATGTCCTCCTATTATTTTGCCCTCCGAGGATAATGCAAGTGCTATCCGTGGAGTTCCAGGCGATATGGGTCCGAAGGGTGAAAAAGGTGAACCTGGTTTAACGGGTGACAAAGGTGATACTGGACCGATAGGTGAACCCGGTTTATCAGGACAAATGGGCATCAAAGGAGAGAAAGGGATTCGTGGAAACCCTGGCGCTATAGTAAGTGTAGTAGTAACTTATCTAGTACAAATTAAATTTCGTTAATTATTTTACAAAGTTTTATTCCCAGCAATGATTTAATAAATGTCAGCTTAGTTAGCATGTATACGAGATATAACCTCAATAAGGCCTTAATAATTTTTAACTAATTTATCTATATGCGCTCCTCATTGCAACTTGGAGTCAATGCATATTCAAAGGAAATATGTTGAATCCTCAAGAGGTAGGATGTTGTCATCAATAAAGACTTCTGGTTTGTGAGACAGCTTTGATAAAGTAAATCTGATACATTTAGTCTTAGTGGCGTTGAAAAGTAAATTATTGGTCGCAAACCAGCCCGACACGACACTTAGTATTTCATTTGGTTGCTCTAATGTAACATCTTTCCTATTAACCTTAAACAACAGTGAAGTGTCATCCGCAAACAAAACGATTTGAGGCCTTTTTTCTACCACATATGGCAAATCATTTATGTAGACTAAAAACAGAAATGGGCCCAGGATCGATCCCTGAGGAACACCCATTTGTACTATCGACCCCGATGACAGTATACCATTTATAGTTACTTTTTATTCCCGATCGCTAAGATATGAGGAAACAAAATCAATGGCAGATTTTCGAATACCATAATATTCCAATTTCTTAATAAGAATCTTATGATCTACACAGTCAAATGCCTTGGAGAGGTCACAGAACACACCAATGGTGTCATGGAACGTTTCCCAAGACTGCAGGATATGCGAAATTAATTCTACTCCAGCATCAGTTGCAGATCTACCTTTCGTGAATCCGAACTGATGCCGGTTCAAAATTTCATATTTATTAAAATGAAATAGCATCTGATCCAGAATTATTTTCTCAAATGTTTTACTTAAGGCTGGTAAGATAGAAATGGGACGGTAATTAGAGGGATTTTCTCTTGAGCCTGATTTATAAACTGGCACAATTTTGCTACATTTCATTAATTTTGAAAATTTGCAAGAATACTCTAAACATAAATTAAATATTTGGGCTAATAAACAAGTAAAATTACAGATCATAAGATCTAATGCCCATATTGATAAGCCCCATAAGTCTTCAGTTTTCTTTTTATTTAAATTTTCAAAAGTTTTAATAATATCATTCCGACCTATGTGGCAAAACTTAAAATTTGGATTGGAAATATTAACATATTTATCCACATATGTTGCTGCCTCTGTAGGACAGTGTTGCAAATGCCTAGTAGTTTCAAAGGGTATATTTGTGAAAACATTTAGAAACTCTGCCATTGACATTTAATGTAAAATCCACTTTTTTCATTATTTTTACCAGTTTCAGTATTTATCACTGTCCAAGTAGTTTTAACTTTGTTTGCGGACAATTTTATTTCATTGCTCAAGTAGTCTGCCTTAGCTATAATACAGACCCTTTTAAACATTTTTGAATACTTCCTAAAATATTCATGGAGGTTAGGATCACAAGTTAATGATTTAATACTGTATAGATCTTGAAAGTCTATTCCTGCTCTTTCTTATTTCCTTAGTCGCCCATTCTCTGAACGAAAGTATATTGCTTAAGGTTATTGTTTTCTTTCTTGATAGATTTTTATTAAATTCTCTGCTAATCATACTAGATAGGGTATTGAAATCGCCATCGGGATCATTAAGGGTTAATTTTAGCAAGGGTAGTTTATACTTATTACTATCCCTGAACTTATTAATTCTGTTTTTAGTTACAAGCCTACATTCATTTATAATAACATTATTCTTGTTATTAATGTGAAGGTCTAATTTAAGGGCTTTATGATCTGATCTAACGTCACTCAATATTACTTGAATTAATAATTTTACAATTGACTATTATAATATCTATGCATGAGGCACAGGATGGGGTTACTCTTGTTGGTTCATTGAAGATGCAATCAAGGTTAAAAGTTTCAAAAAGTGATAGGAATCTTACTTTATCCGGTGAATATGTTAATAAATCAATGTTGAAATCACCACAGATGACTATTTGCTTTTTCATTTTAAATATTTTATTTAATACATCTTCAATAATTAAAAAGAAATTCAAAAGGTCTGATGAGGGAGGTCTATATTAAATACTATACGTCTATATTAAATACTACACATAATATTATATTACTATAGGTCTATATTAAATACTACACATAATATTAAATAACCTTCTGTCTCTTCACAAGCAATCTCGCATTGTCGTTCAACAGAGTATGCAACAATATAACTTCTTTATTTCAGTTTCAAAGTGTTTTTATGTAGGATAAGACATCCCCATCCCATAGCAGTCACTCTGTTGAACTTACTAGCTACTGAATAATTTTTAACACTAAATGTCATATCATTGAACCATGTCTCAGTAAAGCACAAGATATCTAAATTATACTTATCAATTAAAAGTTCTACATCAATGATCTTGCCAAAGAAATGGTTTATATTTTGATATAGCAAACTAATAGTTTGTATGTTTTTTTTCTCTTTTATCAGCCTTACATTACTAAAAAATGTTAAAAGCTTTAGTATTAATAGACAATCTATTTAATACTGGATTGTCATTATTTATATTGTATGCTAATAAAGTAGCTATCTTGTACTTATGTCTAGTTGGCAGATATACGGTATCTTGAGTCATAGTAAGGAGATTAATTTTGTTTATGTAAAAAATGTCAAGTGATGTAATAATTGATTAAGTTTATATACTATCATTACATTTTTCTGTGGATAAAATGTAAGGGAACGCACACCAGATAATATTTTTAACTTTGAGGTTAGACAGTAAGGAGAAACTTTGAATTGTCTGGATTATAATATTTTATTTTTTTGGCGGTATAGCGAGCGGCATGGACATATACAAAACCCGAAAGATAACAGATACTTTGCCCTCTTATGAATTTATGGGTTAGTTTTACCCAGTTTACCTGTAAACGTAAAAGTATAATACTTCCACATCACGCTGGTGTACCATGGTCAATGTACTTACTATTTCCCGGAAAAGTCTCATTCATTCAATGAATTTCTTTACTAGTTGCGTATATTTTACTGTATTGTATGCGTTATAATATTTTAGGGTCGGGATGGTATGTACGGCGCACCCGGACCTATGGGACAAAAAGGAGATAGAGGAAATGATGGGCTACCAGGTCTTTCTGGGCGACCTGGAGGAAAAGGGGAACCTGGAAGGGATGGAGCACCGGGTCTACGGGGTCTTAAAGGAGTCCAAGGATTACCTGGTGGACGTACGGGTTCTCGCGGTCCTCCAGGTCCTCCTGGCCCACGAGGTTACATTGGTCCAGCAGGCCCTAAAGGTACAGATGGACGGCCTGGAGAACAAGGAGAACCTGGACCAATGGGACCCCCTGGTGGTCAGGGAGAGCCTGGAACACCTGGTGTGGAAGGACCCGCAGGTCATAAAGGAGAAAAGGGCGAGCCAGGTTTAGATGGTCCACAGGGGGAAATCGGCCCTCGAGGTTATGACGGCCCCATTGGACCACAAGGTCCTAGAGGAATAAAAGGAGAAGATGGTCTTTCTATTCCCGTGAGTAGAAACTTAATATGAAAAATAAATTTAATGTCGTTAATTTTTTACCGCTTACATGGAAACGGTTATATTTCTTTATTGTTAATTTTGTTTAACTAATCATTTTATGTAGAAAGAAAGAAGAAATGTAAATTTAACAATTTTTTTAGGGTCAAAAAGGAAACAGTGGGCTATCCGGACTCCCGGGTAACAAAGGACAGAAAGGTGAAAGAGGATATCAAGGATTACGAGGTGTTCCTGGAAATTCTACTTTAGGGACTCCTGGAAGCCCAGGTGAAATGGGAGCACCAGGAGAAAAAGGAGATAAAGGCAGCCCTGGTATTGATGGAATACCGGGTAGCCCAGGACCTAAAGGTGATATAGGTGGGCGATGCAATGAATGTTGGCCTGGTGGCCCAGGACCAAAGGGAGACCGGGGTGCAGATGGATTCCCCGGGGAAAGAGGGGAGAGAGGACCAACTGGCCCAGTAGGGCTACCAGGTGAACGTGGTGCAGATGGGTTGAATGGTTTACCTGGTTCTCCTGGCGCTCCGGTATGTCCAATGTTGTTTTATTCTGACTTTGCTACAAATAAATGAAAATTGATTAATTTCTGATTGTGATGAATACTTTAAATATTACTTTGTTCCATAACTAAATGCACATAATTATAAAACAATAAACCGAAACACCGGAGCAAAAAGAAATGGATTTTGATTAAATGTTTTGTATGCTAGAAATTAAAGTGGTAACCTATATATTAATTACTAAAGCACAAAACGTAAAAATTACTTTTTAAATTAACTATTCTACTATTTAAATTAATCATATGTTTTTTGGTTTTTTACCATTCTGTTAATAATTGGGTATAAGGTTATAATGGAACTTTTCTAGTTATTGATCTAGAATAATCTTAAGCAAAATACTTGATATAGGGTGAACGAGGCGACGAGGGACCTATGGGTCCTCCTGGAGATAAAGGAGCCGATGCAATCATACCATCAAGCTTGAAAAAAGGCCCCCCTGGTGAAAAGGGGCTACAGGGCCCAAGAGGCTTACCTGGTCCAAAAGGCGAGAGAGGAAGTGACGGGCTTAAAGGAGATCGCGGTCCAATCGGTATGCCTGGACCTAAAGGTGATCAAGGTTTTATTGGGCCACCTGGGGAAGATGGAAACCCTGGAACTCCTGGTTCGCCGGGAATACCTGGAACTAAAGGAGCCTCAATCAAAGGAGAAAAAGGATTTCCTGGAGATTTAGGCTTAAAGGGGGATAAAGGTTTTCCTGGAAGATCAGGAAAAAAAGGTGAGCCAGGTATGTGCCCTGCCAATCTTCAAGCACTGACAAAAGGTGATAGAGGTGCACAAGGACCGCCTGGACCTCAGGGATTGCCAGGTAATAATAATTACAATATTTATTTCAATATTTATTATACTTATTTTCATATGCTAAAGCACAACTCAATTCTTTTCTAGGCGATGCTGGTGAAAAGGGAGATAGAGGTTTTCCAGGTCGAACTGGAGATAAAGGTGATATGGGCTTGCCAGGAAAACAAGGTCCTGTTGGGCCTCGTGGGCTTCCAGGGCCAAGAGGAGAAAAGGGAGAAATGGGTACTATGGGATTCCCAGGTACGCCTGGAGAGGTTGGACTAAGAGGTTTAACAGGCTTACCTGGATTAAAAGGAGATAAGGGAGAAATAGGACCTTCAATGCCAGGACCACCGGGGCCTCCCGGTTTGAGTGGACGAAAAGGAGACCAAGGTCCAAGAGGCCTACCTGGTATACCAGGTAATGATGGTCCACCTGGTGCAATTGGTCTAAGAGGTGAGAAAGGGGACATGGGATCAACAGGACGGCCGGGATTAACTGGATATCCAGGTCAGAAAGGAGAACCTGGTCCAGTTGGACCACCTGGAGTACCAGGTTTAGCTGGAACTCCCGGAAGAGAAGGGCCTAAGGGACAACAAGGATACCCAGGTATCCCTGGAAAGCAAGGAGTTATTGGATTGCCTGGGCAAAAAGGTGAACCAGGTATGCAAGGACCTGATGGGCCTAAAGGCTTCCCTGGAACACGTGGACGGCCTGGTCCAGCTGGGATTGCAGGAGTCGACGGAATGCCAGGAGATAAAGGAGATAAAGGAGAAATAGGTTATCCTGGTGCACCAGGTGCTCCAGGTCTTACTGGCCCAATGGGACCGATTGGTGCACCAGGGCCAAAGGGAGATCAAGGATTTGAAGGTCCTCCAGGACCACCAGGTAGAATAGGGCTGCCGGGTCTTAAAGGTGACAGAGGTTTTAACGGTGCTCCAGGTCTCAAAGGAGAACCTGGTTTAGCAGCAGATAAAGGAGATAAAGGAGAACCTGGTTTACCAGGTTTAAGAGGTTTAGATGGTGCTCCGGGGAGAAATGGCGACAAAGGTGATAAAGGAGACACCGGTTCACCTGGTTACGGCTTACCAGGTCCTATAGGCCAAAAAGGTGACATGGGACCTCGAGGCTTAGATGGTTTTCCAGGACAACCCGGACAAAAGGGTGATATTGGTTTTCCTGGTTTACCTGGTCAGAAAGGAAATAGAGGGTCTTCTGGAGAAAACGGACAGCCAGGACCACCTGGCTTAGATGGACTGCCTGGTCCTCAAGGTGAAATTGGTTTCCCTGGAGCACCAGGTGTAAAAGGCGACAAAGGAGACCGGGGTTACGCCGGACGTGATGGGATGGATGGTCTTAAGGGAGAACAGGGACCGATTGGTCCAGTTGGTTTGCCAGGAATTAGAGGTTTCGATGGACCGAAAGGAGACATAGGCTTACCAGGTTTGTCAATTAATATTAAGGGAGACAAAGGAGATACTGGACCTCAAGGAAGTCCCGGTATGGCAGGCGAAAAAGGAGAAAGAGGCAGAGATGGACAACAAGGGTTGCAAGGAATAAAGGGGGATCGTGGATACTCAGGAGAAAAGGGAGATAGAGGAATTGTCGGCGTTGTAGGAGTAAAAGGTTCTCCAAAATTTCTATTATTTTCTTTAATCAAAAAATCTACAAAATGTTTTTTATATATCTCTCTAGTTTATAGCATATATTATAAATACATTCTTATTATTACAGGTGACAGAGGTCCTATTGGGCCTTCGGGAATACCTGGTCTTACCATCAAAGGTGAAAAAGGGTTACCTGGAACACCAGGCAAACATGGTCGCCCTGGACAACAAGGTGCTTCGGGGGAAAAGGGTGACCAAGGATTACCAGGCTTGCCTGGAGAAATGGGTCCTCCAGGAGTCTCTGCCCCACCTGGACTGCGAGGCGAGAAAGGGGATCAGGGACGAGAAGGTTTTGTTGGAGTACCAGGAATTGACGGTGTACCAGGCTTGCCAGGTTTGCCAGGCAGAGATGGTCTAAAGGGAGATAAGGGTGATAAAGGGGCCACGGGTATTGGTTTACCTGGTCAGAAAGGTGATCAAGGGCTACCGGGCCCACCTGGATTGGAAGGTCAGAGGGGAGATAAGGGAGAGCGAGGTTTTGATGGTATTAATGGTCAACCAGGTCCAATGGGCTTCCCAGGCCTAAAGGGGGATCGGGGCTTACCTGGCGCACCAGGTCTTATAGGATTAAATGGCGATAAAGGCGACAAAGGAGAATCAGCGCAGTTTGTCTTAGGTCCAAAGGGAGAACAAGGACCACCTGGTCCACCTGGTTTAGATGGTATTCCAGGAAATGCTGGTGCCCCAGGACAACCAGGCTTTGACGGTCGTCCAGGTATAAAGGGTGACCGGGGATATCCAGGACCACAAGGCCCTCCAGGTATACCTGGCCCGCAAGGTTTGCAAGGATTACAAGGTGACAGAGGCAAAACTGGCCTTACAGGGAGTCCCGGTATACCTGGAACACCTGGAGCTCCTTGCGTTACAACTGATTATTTGACAGGAATACTTCTTGTTCGACATAGCCAAAGTGATGCGGTACCACAGTGTGAAGCAGGTCATGTTAAGTTATGGGACGGTTACTCCCTGCTTTACATAGATGGAAACGAAAAAGCTCACAATCAAGACTTGGGATATGCCGGTTCCTGTGTTAGAAAGTTCAGTACTATGCCGTTCCTGTTTTGCGATCTTAACGATGTGTGCAACTATGCTAGTCGTAACGACCGAAGTTATTGGTTATCGACAGGTCAACCAATTCCAATGATGCCAGTAGAAGGCAATGAAATTATGAGATATATATCCCGATGCGTGGTTTGCGAAGTACCAGCAAATGTTATAGCCGTTCACAGTCAAACTCTTGACATACCAAGTTGTCCAGGTGGTTGGAGAGAACTATGGATTGGGTACAGTTTTGTAATGGTTAGTATTCTTATAATAATAAAATTTGTTTATAAAATATACACACATTATTAAATAGTAGGATAAATACATAATACTATACCATACATATACAAAATACACAGGATAAATTATCCGAAAACGAGCATGTGATTGTATTCTTAATATTTATATTATTATATTTTGTTATTAGCACACGGGCGCTGGAGGTCAAGGTGGCGGTCAAGCTTTGGCTAGTCCAGGATCATGTTTGGAAGACTTCCGCGCTACGCCATTTATAGAATGTAATGGCGAAGGTGGAACATGTCATCATTTCGTTAATAAGCTCAGCTTCTGGCTTACAACTATCGAAGACAATAAACAATTTGCAATGCCCGAACGAGAGACTCTTAAATCAGGGCGATTGCTGGAACGTGTATCGCGTTGCTCAGTTTGCATTAAAAACACTGTTTAGTAACATAAAACGAAGGCAACTTTGGAGTAAAAGAGAGTTTTAAACCAAACAGTGGAAAGACAGTTGAATAGAATGCTATAATATATGTTTATCTTTAATAATTAACAGTGCTCCATAACATAAAATGGCATCGGAACAAAAGCCAATCTTAAATTACAGTTACTTTTTATTATTTTACACAGAAAATTTACACCAAAGCAAATTATACTTAAGGTTTTTGTATAAGATATAGTTTATTTAAATCTTAGAGAAAAAATATTCTATCGTTGCACTCTCTTGAATGTATTTTTATGCTTAAACATTTTTACTAATATAGAAATGTAAAATTCTCTACTGCAAAGTATATATAACATAGTTTTGAAATATTTAATATAAGATAAATTCATTTATTTCACTAGTCACATGTAACGCTTTGACATTGTATTGCTTTTAGAATTCTACAAACACTTAAGTAAAAGCACTAAATACCGTTATATTCAGCTCGTGATAAATTCCGAAATTTTTAACTATCTGTGACAATAAGTCACGTAGTTAATTACGATAATGACCGCATTTAATTTTGGTTGGTAGATTTTAACTACTGTATACTACCATTCAGCGAGCTGAGTGAACCGACATCTATAAGATAAATATTGATGTAAGCACTGCCAATGTAGATAAATCTATTTTACGTAGTTACTTTAAGTGTATTCATATAAATAAATAATATAAAATGTTTACATTTTTTTTTACTAACTTGATAAAATTTCAAATTAACAATTTTTTCGGAAGTTTCTAACCATAAAAGTTAAAAACGCCAACTTAGTCCCACTCAAAGAATAGAGAAATGGTGGAAATGGTTCTCACTGTACTTAGGATCGGATCCGCTGTCGCCAAACTCACACTAGTAATACTTGTGTCATATTTTGTATTGCAAATGTATCTTAGCTGCTATTGGCATTCATTATTCACATTATTTAAACTTTAATGTTAATTGCATCATTAAGAAATATGTCTTAAATTCTGGATAAAAGATTTCATTTTGTATTGTGTTTGTTAATTTTTATAAGAAAAATATTTAGCTAGTACTCGGCGCAAGATGTCCTGAACGAAAGAAGCAGTCACAAACGTCCTTATAGTTTGGAAATTGTCTATCGCGTCTTAAAATAAAGTTTGTTTGTTCGTAAAATTTACATTGAGTTTCATAAGTTCCATGTCCAAGTTCCATGTATTGTGAAATAATTGAATCTTTTTTTGTTTTTTTTTGGGCTGGATGGGGCTGGATGAGCCACTGTTGGCCTTAGGGGCCTTCACTGCTCCGATGGGCTTGAGGTGGCCTGGCGCACGGGGCGCCTAGCCTGAACCTCTGCGTATTATTATTACGCGTTATGGTGACTAAGCTCGAGGGCTCGGGCCGGGCCGTCACGCTATTATTATCACCGGTTTGGGAGGCCGCCAAGCTCTTAGGGCGCATTGGCGGGCGCTCCATGGAGTGATCAGGCTCAAGGGTCCCCTCTCGGGGACCTCGGCTTGGGCTGTCACTCAACACGCGTTTAGCATTCCGATTCGAGGGTGCCTGGAAGGGCCGGACCTCAGCTCGATCGGTAGCTATTATCTGACTGGGATAAATTTTCTTTTTACAGTAACCATTTATTTACCAAAAGCAATTTCTGAGCTTATTCAAAATGACCCCGTGGTTTTGACTAGAATACCTGTGCGGCCAGTCAACTATATCAATCACCATCATTTCAGCCTGTTTGAGTCCACTGCTGAACATAGACCTCCCCCATAGACTGCCACGAATTACGATCCTGAGCCACCTGCATCCATCGACTTCCCGCACATTTGCACAGGTCGTCACTCCATCTAGTGGAGTACACTCACTATATCAATAATTAATAATTATCCATATCGGCGACTCTGCTTTGTTCAAGCATGCCTGGAATGACTTCAAATCAGGATGAGGTTTTGAGCTGGCCTTTTCCTCAAATTTTTTACTATTTTTATAATATTTTATAATTCAACGGGTATAAGTCTGGATTGAAGGAGGGCTCGGCTTCGTGTCGGATGAAGTCAGTTTCACGCGCCATCCGCCAGTTTTCTGTGCTTTCCATTTTATGAGCTACAGCAGATTTTCTTTGAGAATATAGAAATAATAAAAAAAATATTTGGAAGATAAATGAAGTCCGCCAATCCGCTGTGGGGTCCCGTGGTGGACTATGCCCTGATAGCCTTATACCCTCTGTACTGAGGAGGCCTTTGCCCAGCAGTCGAACATGTATAGGCTGATACTTTACTTTTTTACTTTTACTCAATATTTTTCATTGAACATTGTATGAGATAAAGAGGTTCCACAAGGTTTGTGAGGACAGTTCTTATTTTGATACACAAGTGCATTAGTTTATGTTTTCTTTTAAAAAGTTATAATTTGGTTAAGCCCGAATATGAGACTTCTAGCCAAACCATGAGCAAGGATGGAAAATTGCCTCACAGGACGCGCAAACACGCTTCCGACCGAATTACTTGCGCTACAGTATCTAATTTGAATTTATGTGTATCGATCTGGTCTTGAAGTAGAGATATTTTATTTTAGCTTGAAATTTTAATACATGTATTAAACTATAAGTTCAAATTAACCTTACTTAATCTTAACCATAAATAATAATAACAATATAACATCAAACGACAAAACCTTACAAACAGAAAATAGGATTGCAGTGATCGCCTTGCACAAAGTTGGTATGGAGCCGCCGATCATATTCCAGACACTTCAAAAGCTTGGTATCACCCGTATGTTCGTATATCATACTATCAACAGATTCAGCAACACTTCGTATGTCGAAGACCAGAAAAGATCGGGGCGGCCGCGTGTTGTTAGAACTACAAAGGCTGTTAATGCTATTAAAGCCAGAATTCGTCGAAACCCCATTAGGAAACAAAAAATCCTATCGCGAGAAATGAAGATTCTCGCTAGGACTCTGTCGCGTATTATTAAACAAGACCTGAAGCTCGGTGCTTATCGCTGATGTACAGGCTATGCCCTAAATCAATCTTTACAATTAAAGAGAGTGGATCGATCAAAACGCCTTCTGTCGCGATACGCAGGTGAAAGGAACAGAAATATCCTCTTTACCGATGAAAAAATTTTCACGATTGAAGAATACTACAATAAGCAAAATGATAAAGTGTACGCTCACAGTTCTAAAGAAGCTGCTCAAGTTGTCGGAAAGGTAAAACGTGGTCATCATCCTGCGTCAACGATGGTTTGGTGGGGCGTGTCTTATCAAGGAGTCACAAAACTACATTTTTGTGAAAAAGGAGTGAATACTTCAGACAAAGTGTATCAATATACAGTCTTGGATCATGTTGTGAAATATCTCAACAATACACTTTTGAAAAATATACCGTGGACTTTCCAGCAGGACTCTGTACCTGATCACAAGGCACGAACTACCCAAGCCTGGCTTGAAACCAACGTTCCGGACTTTATAAGAGTTGAAGACTGGCCCTCATCTAGCCCAGACCTCAACCCTTTAGACTTCAAACTATGGTCAGTTTTAGAGGACATGGCCTGGTCTAAAACATTGAGTCTCTTAAGAAAATCTTTGGAGCAAGCAGTGGCGAAATTTCCTTTGGAAACAGTGCGTAATTCCATAAACTCGTGGCCAAACAGATTAAAGGCCCGTATAAAAGCTAAAGGTGGCCATTTCGAATAGAACATATTTTTATTTTTTGCTGAGACGTTAATAAATTTGTGGGTATAAATTTTAATAAAATTACATTACTTCATTTAAAAAAAATGCATTTTCATTTGTAACAGAACTTATGGCTGGACTAGGTATTCATTGTAATATTTTGTATGTTAAACATAATATTAATAATTATCTAAAGATTAATGACAGACATAAACTAAATACTAGAAATAAGGACAAACTAACTACGCCATTGTTTCGTCTACAAAAAGTAAACAGGTCGTTCATGGGGCAAAGTGTGCGCATGTATAATAATATCCCACAGTTGATATTAAGTCTGCCACTTATGAATTTAAACGAAAAATTAAAAGTAAACTTATGGCTAAGGCCTATTATACTATTGCCGAATATCTTGATGACGCCAATGTGTGGGGTTAATACTGTTGATACTCACGTAGGCTAAAACAAGACTATTATACCTGTAGTATTATATTGTAAACTGATATTTTTGAAAAAGAGCAACGTTTGAGTTTCTTGCCGGTATTTTGTATGTAAAGCATAATATTAATAATTATCTAAAGAATAGTGACAGACAAACTAAATACTAGAAATAAGGACAAACTAAATACTAGAAATAAGGACAAACTAACTACGCCATTGTTTCGTGTACAAAAAGTAAACAGGTCGTTCATGGGGCAAAGTGTGCGCATGCATAATAAAATCCCACATTCGATATTAAGTCTGCCACTTGATGAATTTAAACTAAAAATTAAAAGTGAACATATTGACGACGCCAATACGTGGGGTTAATACAGTTGATACTCACGTAGGCTAAAACAAGACTATTATACCTGTACTTTTATATTGTAAACTGACCTTTTAAAAAAGAGCAACTGTTGAGTTTCTTGCCGCTTTCTTCTCAACAGAAACTGCTTTCCGAACCGGCGGTAACTTACGAACGTGTTAATTTCTTTGTAAAATTTTGAAGTTTCGTAAGAACGCGCAAGCGTCTATGTGAATAAAGATATTTTATTATTATTTTTTTTTTATATTCATTTGTTTTCTCGTCTGGTTGGGTTTATAAATAAAAATAAAAATATAGATAAAAATAAACATAAATATTTTATATAATACATATATAAATAGGACCCAACCAAACGGAAGCCCTCGGCAGGGGAGAACAAATGGCTGAGCGTTAGGGCGAAAGGGAGAGAAACCGGCGGACGATGCGGGCGGTATCAAGGAGCACCGCCTTCTGCATTTGAGCTTGGAGCGATCCGTCCCGGAGTCCCAGTCGCCTCAGATGTTTAGAGAGGCTGACTGGGA